CCATTTGTTTATTTTTGCTTTTGTTTCTAAAATTCTGGGATGTGGGTCATAGAGGATCCTGCTGTGATTTATGTCGAAGAGTATTTTGCCTATGTTCTTCTCTAGGAGTTTTATAGTTTCTGGTCTTACGTTTAGATCTTTAATCCATTTTGAGTTTATTTTGGGGACACTCTTGCTTTAGATCACTACTTAAAAGAAACATTGATGCCAATAAAACAAGGACCTGAACTGCTGTTTATTAACATTTAGACTGTGACAGTCTCCTTTGAGGATAAACCTCAAAAATGAGATGTGGCAAAAGTGGGCAGAAGGCACAGGCTTGGGATGATATATTAGAGTAAAACAAACAGTTTTACATTGTCAGCCACATTTTAGTTTGCATTTCAAAATTTCAATTAAAGAAGTTAATTATCTGTGCCATCTTTGGGAAATCAGTGAATCTCCCTGAGTCCCAGTCTCCTCAAATATAAAAATATTATTGATCTTCATTTTGAAAGGTTGTTATAAAGATAAAATTTAATGTATGTGCCTATTTAATACATAATGGATATAAACTCTCCTCTCCTTTCCACAGCCCCCATATCTATGATGACCAGAGGAAAGGGGAAGACAAAGTTTGACTCATCATTTATCTCCATCCACAATGTACAAAATGCCCTCAAGCTGGAAAGCTAAATGCATTTCCCTTTACTCACAACTCAAATCTTTATCCACATGATCTCACTGTTTGATAACAGCTCAAGCTCATTCCAAATTCCACCTCAGTTCCTCCCTTTCTCTCTCACAAGAATATCAAAGCTCTATAGTCTCTTCATCATTCCTACATCATTCTGTGTCTCCAAATATCATGCCAACAAAGACGTCCTCTTCTTACTGACTTAAACCTGTTCTTCTAGTTCTATTGCTTCAAATAATACTATTTCTGTCAATTTGATTCATAATATCCATATTATACCTCTTTCCTATTTCTTACTATTTTAATAAAATATACTTTCCTCTTACCCAGTAAGACCCACCACTGGGTATATAATAAAAATAACTTAAAAATTGGTGCTTTGTAAATGGTGACTTTGAGAATCCATAAGACTGGCTGGCCTTGCATGTATCAAACAGTACTCAACTGCTATTAATTAAAGGCAATTTGGATGACCTCCAAGGGAATACTTCTGAGTGAGGAGGGGGAGCATCCAGAGAGACATTCCAAGGTTCTAACACGAACTCAACAGAGAAGTAGCTCCCCACAAACTTGCCATCTCCACCCTGAAAATTTTCTGATCATTCCAGACTTATAGGGTCTTCCACCACAAGAGGTCATGCTTGCATCTATTTTACAGTGTTCTATAAGTTGATTCTGCTTTTCTTTACCTGTGTCTATATGACACTGCTTACCTAATCTGATATATTAACATTCTTAAATGAAGGGAAAAAAGCTCATGTTCTAATTAGACCACTTAGGCACCAGTCATCTCTACCCTGGGCCTAAAACTTTTTCTCCTGGCATCTCTGGGCTCTTTGGAAGTATAGAATTCTGGGTTTCCAGGGACCTCAAGGACATCTGGTTAAAGGTTTCCACCATGGTACTATGATAGATGAAATAGTGGGCTGTCCAGTTAGTTCACTTGATAATACAGAGAGGACATCTCTATCAAGTAACTGTTCAGAGCAGCAAGTAAAAAATTCAGGCAAAGTTAAACACTGAACCTTTTTACTTGAGAAGCTAAGAATTGCATGTTTATTACAAAAGGTGGAAATGGAATCCAACTGCTCAACTCCTTTTTCCCTTGCAAGATACAACATTAAATGGAGTCAGTCTGTGTTCCAGAAACTGTCAATGAGAAGGATGTTGGAAATTATGACCAAAAAATGACTGATGTGATATAAGACAGAGAAAGAACACTAGATTAAGAGGCTTTTATTAGCCATAAGACCTTAAACATGCTTCTATGACTCAACATTTCCCTAACTTTATAATGTGGGACATGGGATAGAAAGTCTCTATGGGATTAGAGCTCTCATTACTCTCTTAAATCTATTATTTGTGATATGTCAAACAATTGAGTGATCGCAGTTCTCAGAAAAAATTAAGAAATAAGTGCATGCCATCACTTTAATGACTTTTTTTCTTGACCTTTCAATAATCTCTCATGGCCTTAGAATAATTTCTAGGTTGGCCTAAGTGAATGTTATAGGATATTCCTGTTTCCATCTTCTTCTATCCATGGTAAATAGTATTTCACCAAACTGGGAACTTCCTTAGTGGTCCAGTGGCTGAGATTCTGTGATCTCAGTGCAGAGGGCATGGGTTTAGTCCCTGGTCAGGGAGTTAGATCTCACACACTGCAATGAAAAGATGCTGCATGCCACAACTAAGACCTGGTGCACAAATAAAAAATAATATTTCACCAAACCATACAGGAGAAAGCTGTTGAGAGCAGTAATAAAAATCTTAGAAAGCATACTTTTGCCCAAACCTTTCCTCTAGTTTCCTCCTGTGTTCACCTCCTAGATTCTCTAGTCCACTCTCCCAGCGCCAGCTTCTTCTTTGTCTTTCTCAGTTAATTAACACCTCTAAAATCTCAAACAGACATTGCTTGCAAAATGGACATTGTTTCGTTTCAGTTACTTAACAAATTTGTAAGTGTAGAAACTTCAAAACTATGTGTTTAGAAGTCAAAATGCCTTTTATTCATACTTTTAATTCTTCCTTTCCCTGATATAACTAAAACATCAGAAAATGCCAGTAATATTATTAGTTCTTGGTCTTATTAACCAGACTGGAAGCTTATTATGTTACTAATCAGAGGAAGAGAATGAGAAATAAAAATAGTATGTGGGAGGCATAGTAATAAATTAATTGAAATGTAAATGGGGGAGGAGAGAGAGGAGAAATAGAGGAAGTAGAAGTACTAGAAAGGAGAAATAAAGATAAGAAGTCAAATCTAACTCAAAGGCCATATCTTCTCTGAAACTCAGGCACACAAGTGAAATAAACAACCTGCTTCCTCAGGGCTCCCTGGTATTTTTTTCTCCTTCATTTTACTAAATGCAGAACACATTGTATACTAGTTGCCTGTGCAAGAGCTTTCTTCTACTATCATAGTTACCTTGAGGTCAAGAACCATGTCACATTCATCTTTGTAAAACCAGGGCCTGTTTATATTTAATAAACATTGAATTTAAGTGAAAATTCCAACTGACATGTGTAAATTAAAATTCCAAAGGCCACAAAGTTGAAGCTGTCACTCTGCTTGTGCTTATTCTATAGCTGCCTTGTTGAGTCAGAGGCTGGGAACCTTTCCTAAATTTATATTTCCTGGTACTGCTCACATCAATTAAATTCTTTGGTTCTTATTTCAATGCTCTACAAATCCTCCCCCTTGCTCAGGATTCCCAGGAAACAAGATTCATTAAGTCTTTACGGGTTGAGTATTATGTCAAGGGCTTCAACGAAGATGCAGCAGATGTTATTCCTTCTTTAGGAAACTCACAATTTAGAGAGATTGAGGGTAGAATTCAAAACATCTGTGAAATATGCATATTAATAGTGTAAATATGAAGACCATTGTTTTTCTCTCCTTCCTTCATTCCCCACTCTACATAAAATTTTATTCTCATTTGCTACCCTTCAAAGATTCTGAATTATTAATTCCCCAATCTCCACCATTCTACTTTCTGAGCCTATACACTTCGGAACATCTCTAATCTGGCCACTACACATTTAAGAAGAATGTGTAGAATTGAATCATTGTCACAGACTTGAATCACGCTCCAAAATGATTTTTCAATAGGCAAAAATGAATCCCTGCCATAATAATCCCCACCCAGAGGAGCTCAAAGTGTAATACTCATTTTAGTGCTATGATTGAATAATGCCCATTTGGGTATCACAATCTAGTGATACTCATTTTCATTTTATATAAAAGTTAGAATTTGGTATTATTTAGTATTTACTATCTAGTTTTATTTAGTATTGACTCTTCAATAATGCTAAATAGACACGTGTAAGAAGGGAAGAAACTAATACAAAATATCAAAACCTGAGGAATACAACAAGATTTTCCAAAAAGCACCTTTGCAAACTCTTGCTTTGTCCTTTTCCAAACAGAGACAATAATATTTACATGAAGAAAACTAAGATCATGGTATCCAGTCCCATCACTTATAGGCAAATAGGTGGGGAAACAATGGAAACAGTGAGAGACTTTATTTGGGGGGGCTCCAAAATCACTGCTGATGGTGACTGCAGCCATGAAATTAAAACATGCTTGCTCCTTGGAAGGAAAGTTATGACCAACCTAGATAGCATATTAAAAAGCAGAGACATTACTTTGCCAACAAAGGTCCATCTATTCAAAGCTATGGTTTTTCCAGTAGTCATGTATGGATGTGAGAGTTGGACCATTAAGAAAGCTGAGCATTGAAGAATTGATGCTTTTGAACTGTGGTATTGGAGAAGACTCTTGAGAGTCCCTTGGACTGCAAGGAGATCCAACGAGTCCACCCTAAAGGAAATCAGTCCTGAATAGTCATTGGAAGGACTGATGCGAAAGCTGAAACTCCAACACTTTTGCCCATCTGATGCAAAGAACTGACTCATTTGAATAGACCCTGATGCTGGGAAAGATTGAAGGCAGGAGGAGAAGGGGACGACAGAGGATGAGATGGTTGGATGGCATCAGTGACTCAATGGAAATGAGTTTGAGCAAGCTTCAGGAGTTGGTGATGGACAGGGAAGCCTGGCATGCTGCAGTAGGGATCAAAAAGAGTTGGACATGAGTGAGTGACTGGACTGAACTTTCATTCAATAACCTATATTCCCATTTAATCATCTTATCATATCCCTAAACTCCATTTACTTTTCCTTCCTTTTTCTTTTTTCTTTTTTTAAGGGGGCAGAACCCTCTCTCTGCAGACTTCCATTCAGCTACAGAAGAGGGGCCATGGAATTACAGAATACGGAAAACCCGTCACCACGCACACAGCTGGGTGGGAACACTTACATTGAAATCATACAGGACCCCAAAGTTGGCTGCTGACGCCTCCTCAGCCCTGGGAACCGTTTTCCTAGGTAAACTGCCATATGGCAAACCCCAGAGGTACTACATGGAGAAACAAAGAAAGCAGTTAACAATTGGAAACAAAGTCTGAGCCACACATGTGATCACAAATGGTTTTGGTTAGAATTCTTCTGAAACTTTTTCATGGGGACTCTGCGGGTCTCCATGTGGGGTCCCCTTTTCTGGGAACTGACTACTAAATCCAGAGTGCAGAACAAAGGGAACACTAAGGACCCTGCATTCTGACTGCAGCAGACCACCAGCAATCTAACCCACCACTTTGCCCAGAGGCTTGCTGAGAGCCCTACTACCCACCACCATTGCCATACTAGTCTCATTTAGGAGGTCTGGAAAGGAGAGAGGTGGCCTTTGGGGGACAATAGTTTTCAAAAACGCCATACTACCCACATAGTCAGATGGGAATATTCCTCAGGGGTTGGGGTGGTGGAGAATCTCTCCCTCATGTCAAGGAAGAGAAGAAAAAGGAGAGTCACTCATACAATTAGAGGCTGTCAACTAATAGGGGCTTCCCTGGTGGCTCAGATGGTAAGGAATCTGTCTGTAATGCAGGCCTGGCTTCGATCCCTGTGTTGGGAAGATCCCTTGGAGAAGGGAGTGGCTACCTACTCCAGTTTTCTTGCCTAGAAAATCCCATGGACGGAGGAGCCTGGTGGGATACAGTCCACAGGGTCACAAAGCGTTTTACATGACTGAGCAACTAACACTTTTACTTCTCAGCTAGGAGGGAAGATTGTACCCTGACTGTGATGTCTGCTGCATCACTGATTCAGGTTTACTGCCCAGACCTTGTGCTACCAGATTAGAAGACATGTGATTAGGGGTGGAGGAAGTCAGTGATGGAGCAAAGCAAGGATCAGAGCTCTAGCCCCAGCATAGGCACAAAATTGGCCAAGCAGATGCTGCTTATTATGCAACATGAAAACATCACTTCTTTGGGGCTGTGGCTGGAGGAGGAGGAAGAATGTAGATGGAAACCTAGGTGCAGAGATTGACTGGGCAACAGCTGCGAATCAGGCCCTGCTCCTTCCCTCCACACAAACTGCACAGCTTCCACAGCAGTCCTTCTGGCTTCCTGAGACAGAACAGAGCAGAGCATGGGTTCCACTCATGCTCTCTTTCCCCAGAGTTGGAGGCCACAGAAAACAGAAGATTAGGGCCTCCAGTTTGCACAGGGAGCACGAACTTAGGGCAAAAGGGCAAATGCAACAGAGGAATGCTGAGTAAGGCTGCTGGGTGGAGGCCCCTGAAAAATCCAGCATTGTGGCTGGGAGGCAACCAGTCCTGCCCTCTGGTGGTTCTGTAAAGTCAACAAGCAGGGAGCCCATCCTCTTCTGTTTGTTTGCTGGAGTTGGTAATCAATGCCCAGAAAACAGGATGCCCCTTAACATCTAACACAACCTGGAAAAAAAGCATCCAAAACCAATATGCTTCCTAGTTCTGGGAACACATCTCACTGAACACGTATTAGCTTCCTGCACTGCATATGAGTGCTCGGTGCTCAGTCATGTCCTACCCTTCACAGCCCCATGGACTGTAGCCTGCCAGGCTCCTCTGCCCGTGGAATTTTCTAGGAAGAATACTGGAGTAGGTTGCCATTTCCTTCTCCAGAAGATCTTCCCAACCCAGGAGCATCCTACAATTTTCTATAGTTGGAATGAATTAGCAACAACCTTTCATTCCTCCACACGGAGGCAGCATGGTGTAGGGGGAAAAGAGTAAATGCAGCTGATAAGATCCCTGTATACTCTGCATTGACACTGAGAAGCATCGTAGTAACTGGTGGTAGTTTCAGGTTTCCTTAGAGAAGAGCAAAAACAAAGTTGTGGTTAACTCGAAATAGGTGAAATACATTCTGCTGCATTGCTTAAAGTTTTTGCTTAGGATATGTACTATACTTATGACCTTAGACATCTTAGGACTTTTGATCTAAGTCCACCATCTTCTATGAGCCAGATAGTCATATAACCCCCCAAATTATCTCAAAGATTATAAAACTAGCAAAACAGGGTGCATAAGCTTGTTACATAAGACGAACACTCATTCCAGATCAGCTTTAAAAAAATAAAATAAAATAACAACCTTCTCACTCTGTGATATCAGCTAAGTCCAATCAGCATTATATGACTCAGATTCCACATTTTTAAAATGGAGAAAGAAAAACTTGACTATATTCTACTTTATAAATTTGTTGTGAGGCTCAGTGAGTAAAAGAAGTGAAAGTACTTTCCACGTTAAAAGCTGAAACTCATTAAGCAGTAAGGCACTGGTATTATTCTTGTGGGGAGGCTTGATACAAAAGCTGGCTCTGATTTGAAACCACAGGGATAAAAAACACTCAAAACAATTAGTTTTGGCCATTGCCAATGGTGTATTGAACAAATCGGCTTTTGAAACACTGATATCTGGAAAGATCCTTTGTAAGTTAAGTAAAGCCTAACCCAACTTATGTATGGTAAGCATCCAAAGAAGTCAGAGTCATTTAACTTCTTACAGTTAAGTACGCAACCTCAGTCTTGTTTCTTGGTCTTAGTTAATTGGTCTTAGTACAGCCTTGACGTACTCCTTTTCCTATTTGGAACCAGTCTGTTGTTCCATGCCCAGTTCTAAGTGTTGCTTCCTGACCTGCATATAGGTTTCTCAAGAGGCAAGTCAGGTGGTCTGATATTCCCATCTCTTTCAGAATTTTCCACAGTTTATTGTGATCCACACAGTCAAAGGCTTTGGCATAGTAAATAAAGCAGAAATAGATGTTTTTCTGGAACTCTCTTACTTTTTTGATGATCCAGCAGATGTTGGCCATTTGATCTCTGGTTCCTGTGCCTTTTCTAAAACCAACTTGGACATCTGGAAGTTCATGATTCATGTATTGCTGAAGCTTGGCTTGGAGAATTTTGAGCATTACTTTAATAGCATGTGAAATGAGTGCAATTGTGCGGTAGTTTGAACATTGTTTGGCATTGCCTTTCTTTGGGATTGTAATGAAAACTGACCTTTTCCAATCCTGTGACCACCGCTGAGTTTTCCAAATTTGCTGGCATATTGAATGTAGCACTTTAACAGCATCATCTTTTAAGATTTGAAATAACTCAACTGGAATTCCATTGCCTCCACTAGCTTTGTTTGTAGTGATGCTTTCTAAGGCCCACTTGACTTCACCTTCCAGGATGTCTGGCTCTAGGTGAGTGATCACGCCATCGTGATTATCTGGGTCGTGAAGATCTTTTTTGTACAGTTCTTCTGTGTATTCTTGCCACCTCTTCTTAATATCTTCTGCTTCTGTTAGGTCCCTACCATTTCTGTCCTTTATTGAGCCCATCTTTGCATGAAATGTTCCCTTGGTATCTTTAATTTTCTTGAAGAGATCTCTAGTCTTTCCCATTCTATTGTTTTCCTCTATTTCTTTGCATTGATCCCTGAGGAAGACTTTCTTATTTCTCCTTACTACTCTTTGGAACTCTGCATTCAGATGCTTATATCTTTTGTTTTCTCCTCTGCTTTTTTGCAAAGTTGCATTAAGTAGTATCTTTTTCAAAGCAAACTTGGCAAAATAAATACATGCAACACACAAGATGTCAAAGTCTTTCTCTTGAGCAATTAATATTAGGCACAGGGGCCACCTTGGGACTCTGATAGAATCTGTGAACATTTTCACTTAGAAATGTACATTTAAACATGCACACACATTTTATTTATTATTTCAGGAGGCCACATACTCTTCAGAGAAAAATTAAGACCTTTGGTTGATGGACACCGTTTTGAAGATTAATTTGTTACAAATACTATTACTCTAAGAGCATAGGTAGCTAGATAGACATTCTACTCTTAAAAAGAGTGGAGTTTTTTTAGTAGAGTGCTTGCATAAGAAGCTCGTTACAGCATGTTTTATAAACTAGAAGTCAGAATCTTACCTCTGGCAACATGATAAGGCTGAATGTCAGGATAAAGAGAACCATGTTTACTCCATACATCCATCTCAAGAAGAGGAAGTATGAAGCCACTGATGAGCCAAACTGACCTATTAAAAAGAAAATAAAAGTTTGAGAGGGGGGCAAAACAAGACAAAAGCCAAATCTTGGTGTCTTCTAAATTGAGTTGTCTCATTGCAACACATTAATTTTTTTTTCACTTTTACAGCCTCTAGCAATTTTTTTTCTATCCAGAAAGAGAAAATGTTAACATGATGAAAGTAGATGTGTATTCTACACAATGACTACATCTTTAGAGTCCATCTTCCCACCTTTTGCTCGGCAGCCAGAGTTGACATTTGAAGAACCCATTTTATTCTTTGAGTTAACACAGTTAAGTGAGAAAATGTATATAAACTGGTTATGTTATTGAGCCCAAGCTCATATTTCTCACCACACAACAGGCCAATAAACCAAGAGATGAGTTGTTGGGGCAAGGGATAATAACTTTATTCAGAAAGCCAGCAAACCAAGAAGATGGTGAAGTTACGCCCCCAAAGAACTATCTGGCCTGGTTTAGAATTTAGGCTTCCTTTATACTAACAGGGGAGGGGGAAAAGTCAAACATTTCCTAGTTCCAGCTAGCTTCCAGAGGGAATGTGTTAATTTCTTCCTTCCTTTAGTCATTCATAGGTGGACCTGGTGAGAATGTTCCTCGTGAGCTAAACGGAGATATTTTAGCTTAACTCTCATTACCTGGAAGGCAGGATTCCCAGAAATGGGCCATTATGTATAATTTAAACTTACAGGCAACATCCCTTTAGTGGTTAACACAACAGAACACAAAAATTCCTCCCTATTACAGTTACTGCAATGCCTGGCCAGTAGTTAGCTATCATTACAATTATAATTACTGGCTTCTTCCTCTTTTTTCTCAAGCAACAATATTCTTCCCAAAGTTTACCACATCTTTTATGGAGAGGAGCCTGGCAGGCTACAGTCCATGATGTCACAAAGAGTTGGACATAACTGAGTGACGAACACACACACACACACACATCCTATAGACCATTCCGTGCTGTTCTGAACAGATGGGGCATTTCATAGATAGTGTAGAAGCTGAAGTCCATTCATTCGTTTTTCACATGTTTACCTTCTGTCAGGAATTATCTTAGATGTGAAACATAATATCAGAGACAGGACTGCTGCTCTAATACAACTTATGTTTTACTGAGGTGTGGAAACAAGAAATATGCAGTAATTTAAAAAGACATAAAGAAGTATACACTCATCATAATATATACATTACATTATAATCATATATTTATAGAAGTATATATAATAATTTATCCAGATCAGTCCTAGAGGGAAGAAGGTAAAATACTGAGAGGGGTTGCTTTAGATGGGTTTGTAGAGGAAGGTCTGACTCTCATGTGAGCTTGACCTCATCTTAGTAAGCAGAGGCTGAAATGAAAGAAGGTAACATTTGAGCAGAGATCTGAAGTTGAAGGAACAGGCAGCAAGGCCCACAGCTGGGGAAGAGCAGCGCAAGCAGAGGAAAATGCAGGAACAAGTATCATGAGGGAAGCCAGAGCTCAGGACAATTGAGGGACAAACCTAAAGGCTTCTGGTTGGAGCACAATGAATAAAAGAAAATGGAGATGGGTGCAGATGAAGAAACCAAACCACAGTGTGTGTAGGGCCTCTTAAAGGAAAGGTAAAAAGTGAGCGTTTTATTTTAAATGTGACGAAAAGTCATTGACAGGTGTTAAGCAGTGGGGGTGGGTGGGGAGACTTCAATTTAAACACTCACTTCAGGCCTAGGGAATTAATTGGGAGGGGACAGGCAAGAATGTGCTGTCAACTCACACCTCAGGGAAAGTAAAGTGATCTGTCCAATTCTTATTGACTAAGAAAAACCAAACAAAAGCATTCTCTTAAATCAGAGAATGGAAAAGGAAGAAAAAACTGAATTTGAGTCTCAGGTTGAAATTTCACAGATTAATAAAAGCCAGCATTCTTTGATAATCATTAAAGATTCAATATCAAGTTGCTAGTTTCCCCAGTCTTCCTAATTTTTATTTTCATTGCCCACAAAGAACCAGGGAACACTCTCAGCTACTCTCTGCATCAGGCCCTTTGTCCTGACTCATTCAGCAAAGCACCTCCTGGGGAACACTGCTTTCTTGGGGTCTCTAGCTTTAAAGCATTGCTGATGGGGAAGCATTATTACAGGAGGAGGGAAGTTAATGTGGAGCAAATTTCAGCCTCTGCTTACTAAGATAAAGCCAAGCTCATATGAGAGTCAGACCTCTATTTCCAGAATTTAGTCCATTCTTTAGGTACCATCTTACTTACTCTCAGAACACAGTGACAGTTTTTATAGAAACTTAAAAGGAATTCAATGTCTAAATGCATGAATGCATGTTAAATTGCTTCAGTCATGTCCAACTCTTTGCAACCTTATGTATGAATGGTAGCCCACCAGGCTTCTCTGTCCATGGAAGTTTCCAGGCAAGAATATTGGAGTGGGTTACTATGCCCTCCTCCAGTGGATCTTCTTGACTCCAGGATTGAATCCATGTGTCATGTTTCCAGCATTGGTAGGCGGGTTCTTTACCACTAGCACAGACTGGGAAGCCCCAATTGGACATTTTGTATTTGGATTCATTTCATTTTGTAGAGGGGTACTGAGTTCTACAAAACTTCTAAAAGTGTGTGCTGTTGATAAACATGCCCCCCCAGGTGTTGTAACTGGATGCACTGGTCTATCTGCAGAAACGCTGGAGCAGATCCTCCTCTCCTAGGACATCCGATCATCCACCTGGCTCCCAGTGATGTCATATCATTTCATGGTCGTTATCTGTGTTCTCTGGCAACAACTACCCAAGGGCTGCCTCCGCCAGGTTCACTTATCATGTTTTATTGAAGGCAGTGGACTTCCAGCTTATTAGTCATTACAGTTACTCATTAACTGGAGAACATTTGTCTCTAGGTTTCCGTGGCAAGCTTTTCCCTGAAACACATGTGAAACCCTCTGATATAGAGTTCTGAGCATAGGATTCTGACCCATCCTTCCCTCTTTCCCTCCCTCCTTTTTTTCTTCCCTTCCTTCCTGGCCTTTTATGCTTTTGCTCTTCTAATTAGCACCAGGGCCCACCCTTTCCCAGTTCCCCAAACACAATCCCTGGCAAATGAGTGTAAATATACCTAAAAGCAAAAAAGAGAAGCAAATTAAAATATTTCAAAAAATACTCCTTCCATGATAAATGGGCTTCTTTGGTTGCTCAGATAGTAAAGAATTTGCCTGCAATGCAGGAGACCTGGGCTCAATCCCTGCGTCAGGAAAATCTCTTGGAGAAGGAAATGGCAACCCACTCTAGTATTCTTGCCTGGAGAATTTCACAGACAGAGGAGCCTGGCAGGCAGGCTACAGTCCATAGGGTCACAAACAGTCAGACACAACTGAGCAACTGAGGATGCACAAACACATCTGCCCTATATATAATCCATATATATTATATACATTCGACTCCAAAGCTTATAAACTCGAGTTTTTAGACTTGAAAGTGGCTTCACCACAATTTTTTTTGGAGGTAGAGAAGTGAAAGCTAAGGCTTTTCTCTGCAAAATCCTAGGTATAAAGAAAATGAATTGTAGGAAAATAGATTTCATCAAAGCCAGAGTGATTGTAGGAAAGATTCAGATGCTGGTCAAAGACTGAGGAGTCCAGAAGACAATGTTCCTTCTGTGTGATACCTACCAACGTGAGAGGAGGAAAGAACAATAACAAAACAAAGAACAAAGATCATGAAGAAGAGAAAACAAATCAATGGGTTGACATCAAAGTTCCATATGCCCTTTCCCTTTCTCAACACAAAAATGAAAAAGAAGACATTTTCCCCTCTTCATAATCATTTAGCCCAGTGGTTCTAGCCTCCCAGAGATTGTTGACTGAAACGGGAATTTCCTTAAAGAAAAGAAACCTTTCTATAGAGAAGCTAAATGAGCATAATTAAAAGAACAGTCATTTCCATGTGCTCAGTCTCTCAAATAAAACTGACTTTTCTTGTAGAGAACAGTAATAATAGTAGTAGCCAACATATTTTGATGGTCAGTTACATATACTGAGAATTTTACTAGCATCAATTCATTTTACTGCCTTGACAATTTGGTAAGGTTAAGTATTATTAGTGCAACTGTGTGGATGGGAAATAAAAAACAAACACAGCAGTTGACTGATCCAAGGTTTTATTAATAATAATAATTGCTAAAGTTTAATGACTTTGTTCCAGACATCTATTTGATCTCTGCATATTAATTCATTTAACTATTATCAAATCCCTGCCAGGGAATCTATTGCACTCCCATTTTACAGAGACTTAACTCCATAGTTACACGTCTAGTAAATGATGGAGCCAGGTTACACTGTATTTACATAAATAGTAAATGATGCAGCCAGAGTTCTAAATCAGATAGTCTTTATCTATAGGTGTTTGACTCCGAATCGACATTTCTCTTATCCACAGTGCAATACTGCTCCTCAAGTATAATCACAGTTGCATGCTAATTCACTTCATTCACGTCCAACTCTGTGCGAACTGCTGGGATGCAGCCCGCCAGGCTCCTCTGTCCCTGGGGATTCTCCAGGCAAGAGCACTGGAGTGGGTTGTTGGGCCCTCCTCCAGGGGATCTTCCCCACCCAGGGGTCGAACCTGCAACTCTTATGTCTCCTGCACTGGCAGGCAGGTTCTTTACCACTAGTGCCACCTGGGATAATCATAGTTAAATTCATCTAAAAAATGTTTTTTTAAAAAAACTATTTTATGCTATATAGAATAAATACGCAATGGATGTGTGTGTGAGAGAATAGATACAGGTAATATCCATCAAACAGCTAAAGCTGATCAAATTTACAAATCTGGATTGTGCCCATCAATGACCAATTCCTTTCTCTTTAATCTAATGAATACATACTGTTTCATTAGTAAATTATTAATGTATTTAAAGTCTTTGGTATTTATTAAAATGAAGTCTAAACCTTATGCAGTATTCTTTTTCCTGAATTTTCTTGTGTATCTTTTAAATTAATGTTAAGGTTTCATATCTCCCTCTGGATATTTATTATTAAGACAGAGTAATTTGTAGTCTGTCATTGTGTATAATTTCCTCTTGAACAGATGGGTAATAAGACAAGCAGATAAATATGAGCATTTCTAAATGGGAAAAGACCAATTAAATTACCTGCTGTAAAGTACAATATAAATACCATCTTGTTAGGCAAGGATTCAGAGCACAGTTTCTTTCAAACTGATCTAGGGATGGGGAATTAAATGTGGCAAATTTAATTTACATTTTTCTGGAGCCCTTAGGCCAGCAGGGAAACTTGTAGTTTAAACTCTGTGCTTAAGGTTGTCTGTCTAAAGCTATTTCTGGTCTTAAAAAAAAAAGTAGTCTATCACACCTAATTTTTTTTAATGCCTCCTGTTTCTGAAAACTGTCTTTTTTTAAACTTTTTATTTTGTATAGCTCGTTAACCATGCTGTGATAGTCTCAGGTGAACAGCAAAGAGACTCGGCCATACACATACATGCATCCATTCTCCCCTAAACTCATTTAACATTGAGTAGAGTTCCCTGTGCTATAGAGTAGGTCCTTGTTAGTTACCCATTTTAGATATAGCAGGGTATACATGTCCACCCCGAACGTCCTAACTATCCCTTCCCCCCAACCATCTCCCCTGGCAACCAGAAGTCTGTTCTCTAAGTCTGTATCACACTTTAACTTTGATGCTGTAATTTACTATTAGGAAGAAGTAGATTTTGATTGTGAGAAAGGCTTGTAATGTCCAACGTGAAAGAATTCAATGATTTAATCCACGGTTTCCATAGTAACACAGGAATCAAGTAGGTATAGGTTATATTTGTACTCCTGGGGTACCAATGTACAGCTTCTTCAGCAAAATATGCAATGCAATGTGGTTTGATAAGGTGCTTCTCAGCAGGTAACCACGGGGTTTTAGGCAAGGTCCTTTTCCAAGGCTGATGTAACAGTAAAACTCCATGGCATCACCATATGACACAAAACTTCACAGCAAGAATTATCAAATCTATTTTTTATATGGAGAAAGTGGAGAGTCAACGAGTACCTGGCCCACTTTAGTATTGGGATCTATGACCTACTGGAATCAAAATGGAAACAGCAAGAGTTTTAGAAATTTACTTTTCCATTTCCATTTGGAAAATGTCTGCTATTTAATTTTATTCAGCATATTCATTAAAACCAAGCATATTCTAGGTCTGGGGGTCCAGGAGTGAACAAAACAAATTTTCTGCCTTCATATCTATTGGAAGAAATGAACAAAATGAAGTGAAATGACTATATTTTTCATTTAATTATTTTATTTATTATTTATTTAATAATTTATTTTTAAATTAAATGAAAAATATTGTATTTTAGATAGTGATAAGTGTTGAGGAGAAAAATATAGCAAGAAAGGGCTGGCACAGGAATATGTGGGAGGAATTAATGAGCTGATTTATTTTATTATGTATTATGTATTCGATTAATAAGCTGATGTATTTTAATTCATTGCCATCTGATGATGAGAGACAGAGGACTGAGAGGTCCTCACTCCTAAAACATGCCCAATCTTGTCAGTGAAATATCCATCAACTGTGTTATCTCCCTATGGAGCCTCCACTTTAATTAGGCAACACCACATTTAGCCAGCAGGAAAATCTGCCCTGCTATCTGGAGGGGTATGGAGGAAAATCAGATTCTACTCAAAACTATTAGAAACCCGAATATAACAAGGCTATGCTCAAAATTATTTTAAATGTTATCCCCTTTTTTAAAATTTTCTTTTATTATTTTTAAAATGACATACTATCATATTTACAATATTTAAAATTTTTATCTTCCTTATTCTAAGCCTAGAGCACTATAATAAATAGTTTAATTGACTATATTCTCCTGCTTTCTCTGTACACTATGAACATTGTACAAAATGAAGGCACAATATGATATTCAGATAGAGAGTTTCTGGATGATTATTGCTTATTCTCACTTCAGAGATTTTGTTTTTTTTAAATGATGCTTTAAGATTTCTTCACTATTTTTAGATATGGCTCATTTTAATTATTGTCTAACATCCAAGTGAATGTATATTTCTATATGAGTTTATTTTAAATTGAAGTATAATTGATTTACAATATTTCAAGTGATTATGTATTTTCAATGTCATGTTCATTTCCAAAATAAAATCTCTGCTTTCCCAATGACATGACTCAATGTTATTGTGCACAATACTGACTTTCATGTGTAGAAGAAAATACAAGGTCAAGATGAGAATAATTTGGTCTAATGCAGAAAAGGAGAGTGGAGTCTCCAGTGCTGCAGCTAGTAAGTGCTAGCAAAGCTTCACAGTGAGCAAAGAGGACATAAAAATGTCTTTATTTGTTTGTTTTCTTGTTTTTAATCTTTTCAGTAGTACAGGACTGAGAAAACCATCTGATAAGCTTATGAGACATTTATCTAGGACAGCATTCCTCATCTAATGGATCGAATGAGCACTTACTTTCAATTGCCTTGATTTTATTTTCCCATGGGACACAAGCAGCTTTGAAGTTCTCAAAATCTCGGAGAAATTTTGCCCATTTCTGAAAAGAAAGCCAAGTTCAACAATAAAACCCAACTGCTTGTTTGTTAAGATGTTTATCCCCCACACTCGTCCCAAAATATCACATGACAATGAGCCTGGAAAGATCTCTCTGGCATCACATAGTGCTTTTTGTAAAAGAGGAAGATGCTAGGTTTCACTTGTTCCCCTGTTCCCCACCTACTCCTGGACCAATTTAATTAAAAGATGTTTACTGGTTTTCTGTTTTACAGAAAATATGCCAACCACTGAAAATGATCTGTTTATTCTTCTACACAATAAGAGAGCAGGGACTGAGTTAGCACCTAATAAGGTATGTATTTAATTAAATATTCATTGCATGAAGAAATTAAGGAAATATAAATAAGGCATAGTTCCTGCTTTGAAGGGCTTCTGGCTCAAGTACACTGTACAGGATGTTAAGTGCTATGACTTTTCATTCTGGTAGAGATATAACAGTTGTCTAAATGGAAAGGCATGGTGCTATAGGAAAGGGAAGGAAGAAAAAAAAAAGAATCATAAACTAGTTTTTGTAAAAGATCTTCCTCCCACTTTATCCAACAATGTTGGGTTACCCATAAGAAGAAGAATGAGGATGGGACAGATAACTTTGCATTTGTATAGATAATGCTGGGATAATGGATGAGCTAAACAGGCATGTGGCACCTAAATAAGATTTGATACAAGCCTGAAGTTCAAAAGATTACCTAAACCAGAAACAACTCAAATGTTCATCTATAATTGAATGGATAAGTAAATTACAATATCTTCATATGATAGAATATAACATATAAATAAAAATGAACTATAACTCCTATGACATGGACATATTTCATACAAATAACATTGCTCAAAGAAGCAAGAAACAAAAGCATAAATGCTGTATGATTCCATTTATTTAAACTGTAAAAACAGATAAAATTAATCCATGATATATAAATATGTATCAGATCTACCTATAGGTTTCATATTTAAGACAAATGAACTTTATTCATAAAACTCCATCTCTATTAGAACATATTTAGCCTCAGGTGGTATAACATTTGTAAAGAGGAGATAATAATGTCTACATACATACTTTGCTGTGAGAATTAAATTTGGAAGGACTTTTATAATAAGGACTCAATTTTTATAGAAGGATTTAATTCAGTGCTTGGAACACAGTAAGTGCTAAATAAATGTTAGTCTCTTTTCTATCTTTTCCAAAAATCTACATTTATATTGGCATATCATTTGTTTTCTCTTATTTACTATCCAATTTATAGTTGATGTACCTAGTAGAGAAGAGTTATATGGCTCTGTAACTTGTAGACATTTTGAGAAAGAAACCTTGACCCAGAACCACATAACTCCCAGTGAATGAAAACGAAAGGGGCACAGTCTATTACATTTGGAAGTGATAAAATCATACAAGTCAATCTTTTGCCACAAATCAATGTTTCTCAACTTATTTTTCATTTTAACTCTTTTAAAGAGCCTTTCAGGACAATTTTATTTTTCCTGAATCACCCGTTTCTCCAAATTTCAATAACAGAGTACTGTGTATCTAGTATAATGTACCTAAATATACACATAACATGTCAGATTTTTTTTGTCACTCTCTCAGAACAGAACCAATTTTACAACCCCTTGGAGGCAATGTGGCTTTCACAGAGTTTATATGGCATCAAACTGACTGAACTATGAAAATACTTACCTTGGCCATCATCATCTTAAATGCAAACCACCGTTTCCCTTTTCCTTTCCCAAGAGCCCCTTCATTTTCGCTCACAAATTTTTTTGCTTCCCTGAGAAAATAAAACAAAATAAAATGTGGGTGAAGGTTAATATAGTATATAGGTAGTGGATATTTAATTTTCTTACGTCTACTGTTTTATTTCTCCTTGACCCTTTTAAACTCTTAACAAATGACAGAATTTCATAATCTTAGGATTTGTAAAAGATGTTTAAGTTTTAAAATTCTGGCCAAGTGTTTAAGTTTTTAAAATTTTGGCCAGGAAGAATAAGATTTTTATTCTCACTTATTAATCAGCTGGAGTCATCAAAAAGCAAGGAATTTATGCTGAACATCAAAGTAGAGAACCCCAGTTCTCATTTCTACCACATGTAAAATTGAATCTTAATTTTATTTCAGATTCTGGCAGTCAGAATGTTTATTTTAAAATACTTTCCTTCTTTTTTAAGGATTGCTTTAAAAAAAAAATAGGGCAGAGAGTTTGGGACAAACTGACATAGAACACACTTATTGACCTGGCATTTAATCTCATAAAAGCAATTATGACTTAAATCAGAAAAATCATACTACATAAAGCAAAGGGCTTTAGGGAAGAGAGAAAAGGAAAGGAATAATCTTTGGCCTCACATTCTCAAAGAGTTTCAAATTTAAACCTTAACATTCTTCCCAAATATTTGTACTTTTGCAGTAGTCATATTAGTGTCATTGTGTGTGATAAAAAGCATTAACTCATCAAAATGGATAACGTGAACATGTTAAATATACTACAACTTTTATAACCTTTTTTAGTCATTTGTGCTATTGTTGTCTGTTTGCAATTTGAAAAGAATTTTACAAATAGAGGCAGTCCAGACTTGCCCTGACCTCTCAGGGGCCATAAAAGGCATAACCCAAGAGAACCAAGGGATAATCCAAACCTGGACATTAGTTCTACAAATACAACACTGTCGTCAGTTGGGTGGCCCCTCAACACATGACTACAAACTTAACACACAAAGTATTCCTTAAAAGGTGAAAGATGAAACTTCATCCTTAAGTTGATGAAGGATATTTCTGTGTTCCTCAGTATCAGTGCTAAGCTTGTGATTTTACAATACCCAGTGATCAAAACAGCACATGCCTGCTACCTTAGCCTATAACTAAACAATGGTGCCCCATTATTCACCCATACATGGACACCTACCCATGGCCTGCCATAAAAACACAAGTACAATGGAGAAGATTCTCTTCAGATGTCAAACTCCCCACATCATTTCTTTGATGTCAGGGACAATATCTTATCCTTTTTTTCTCCCACAGCACTGTTCACTACTTGGATCGTAAGAGGTGTTTAGTAAACTTATTTTCAAGTAAACTTGAAATAGACATGACTGGCATCATTCAGGTAGATGGAAACAGGGGAATGTCTAAAAACTGTATTATCCACATCAATTAATGCTCGAAAGCAAAGTCATTCCTAGACTTTGGAATCACACCCTTCTCTTTTGTCTTCTCAGAAACTAAATAGGACAGCTTCCTAGAAATGAAGAAGAGTTATTAGGCTGGCCTTGTGAAACACTCTGACATATGACAGGACTTCTGGGCTGTGAAGATTAATTGAAAAAAAAGTTTCTAAAACATTCTACACAGTCTAAGATGTTCAATAAAGCCATGTCAACAAGTACAAACTGAACTCTCATGGCTGGGTTTTAAATGCAGCCAATCAAAAACAAGCATATCGCAGTTAAGCTTTAACTATGTGTTATACAGATGACAAGACAGAAGTGAGTATGGTACCTAACAGACACTTTATAAAATGCTGAACTGATATAAACTGAAAATCAAGTAACCTGATTTTAACCCAGTTCTGTGATTTGTCTCTATGACCTGGTCCATGTTTTTGTCACTCTCTATACCCATGCTGGGGCTTCCGTAGTGGCTCAGACAGTAAAGAATCTGCCTGCAATGCAGGAGACCCAAGTTAGATTCCCTGAAGGAGGACATGGCAACCCACTCCAGTATTCTTGCCTGGAGAAATCCATGGAGAGAGGAGCCTGGCAGGCTCCAGTCTATGGGGTCGGAAAGAGTCGGACACAACGAAGCAACGAACATTTTCACTTTCTTTCATTCCCATGCTGAGGAGAATCCTGTTTTTCAAAAGAAAGGGCACTTGCTCAAGACTTGCACACACCTGAGCAAATTCTGCACAGATTCCTTCAGTTACTGTGTAGCTTTTAACAGGTCCAGGATTCTCAAACAAACAAACAAAAACCGAACAAATGCTTCCTGCTTGCTTGGGTGCTGGTGAAAATCTAAGGTGTGACCATAGATGTGAATGTGCTGAAGGCATTACTACACTGTCAGTTCCACTGTAACACTTGTTTTGAAACCAAGAATCTGTTCTAACATGATTGTTATACTATGGAACATCCTGAACATAACACAGACTTTGTGTTTGCTTATCTGTGATTTTTATCTACAAGAAACACTAAGTGAATGCAAAAAAAAAAAAAATTGCATCCACCTTAACCTAGAAGGGTATACACAAAATGGACACACCTCATCAACCAGCTACTTCATGACACCACATGTGTCAGAAAAGCCACATCCATTCAGAGCTGACTTACAATGACCCTCCTTCCAGGCTTTATAGTAACTCACAAACTGCAGTCTTACCATTTCCACAAGCAAACTTCAGATCTTTTTAAAGGTAAACAGCCATATTTATTGCAGTATTTATGCATTTCTCAGCCATTTAACATGTGTAAAATATTGCTGCCATTTTCTTAAATTTCTCTTTTTAAAATATGTCACCTATGATGTTCCTGAATATTACGCCCCATTCCCATTATTCTGTAAGCCCTGTAGTTTTCACTACCCAATTTTCAAGGTGTGGTGATTTTTAGGAACCCATTCATCATGTTATAACAATTATTTGGCATCAAGAACTTTGAAATTCTTAAGACCAAGTATATGTAGGAATTATCACATCATTCTCTATTATAATAAACATATATAAATGGAGAATCAAAAATTCTTCTTAGTAGTAAAATCAAAATTTGTTTTTCAAATGTAATAAAGTGACCACTTTACAGACATACCCACAGCTCTTGATATTTAGGACATAATTAAAGAACATCAATTTAGCTTATTAGAATTATATTGCTTTCTACTTGAGTGGACAATTAGAAAACCAGACTGCTCTAAGCAATCAGAAGTATAAAGAAATAGCTATTCTACTCCATAAGGTTTTAAATTTTGTGAGCTGATAATCATGTTACAGGAACAGTAAACTAGCAAAATTTAAGAGATAGGGAAGTCAAGGTTATAACCAAATTGAAGTCACCAAAAAATTAATTGTAAATTAAATTATAAAATACAAAAACTTAATTACATGGCTTTCATAAGAGTTTTTAAATCAGTTATTCCATACATACTTCTCCTTTGAATGATCTAAACCCAAGTTTTTATTTTTTGTCTCTTAAATCGCCAAATTCTCCCTGGTGCTAGGCGTAGTTTCATATTTCTCTTCCAGTACTATCCTACCCCACCCTCAACATACATACACATCCTGAGTTTTCAAACAAAAGTCTGGACTTCACTTTACTCCATATAATTGCAAATATGTATTTTTTTTTCTCCCTGTAGCTCAGCTGATAAAGAATTCGCCTGCAATGCAAGAGACCCTGGTTCTTTTCCTGGATTGGGAAGTTCCCCTGGAGAAGGGCATGCAAGCCACTCCAGTATTCTGGAGAATCCCCATGGACAGGGGAGCCTGGCGGGCTACAGGCTATGGGGTTCCAAAGAGTCAGTCATGACTAGTGACTAAGCACAGCACAGTGCCCTACCCACTCCTCTGTTCTCCAAGAGGTCTTCCCCAAGTTTCGTAGTTTCATACCTAAGGGCTCCTTGGCCAGCCATTCTAACTCCTCCTGCTCTCCACTGCCCACCAGGCCCAAATACCTACCAGGGGTAGTGGGCAGAGAAGAACTGTTAAACAAGAACAGATTCTTGATCTCCCTAATCTGATGCACTTGGAGTATAAGCATTTTGCTCCTTTTGAGCACAGAAGAGGGGAAATTGAGGTGGAAGAGCTCAGAGAAAGAACAAATCTTTATATTATTTTCAGGGCTGACCTTTACAATTAGCTGGCATGATTTTAGGATGGAAGAAACTAGCATCACCCAATCCCATCCTTCTTGATAACAGATTTCTTAACCAGAAGACAATATCTTCTAACTGTGCTATTAGGAACAAGATACAAAAAGAAAATATCCGATATGGAGATAAACACTGAGTGATACTTATCACACTAAAGTAGCCATAACAGATGTCAGAATGCAGGAAAACAAATAGCAGAGTCTTTGAAAACCAAACAGCAATAAAAAAAAAAAATTATTATTTTTTTATTATATATTTTTCTTGTAATGAATCTATTTTCTTACCCATTTGTATTGTTCTGGATAATTTAAAGGGATTTTTCTAGCCATTTTTCATGGCTAACATGAAATAGGCTTTGGGGGATAAATTCTGAACACCTACTAGCCTCAAACCAACCAAATATCTGACTGAAAAGTGTGTGTCATCTACTTGAACTGCATTCAACAAAAGCTGCCTGCCAAGTCTGTAATCCAGTCTCCATGTCTCAGAGCTCAAAGCCCTGGTACAATATGCACAGCTCTCTGAGCTGTAACCCCAGACAGGGATAAATAATTGAGCAAGGTCTATTTAATGACAATAATACCTGGCTTCATCATTCATTTATCAACCCCTTTTGTTGGTAATTAGAATAATAAGGTTTCATGGGCGTTCAAGAATGCTTTCACAGTTAGTTGAAGGGGCACACTTTGGCCTAACGTACAAAATAGATAATTTACCCGTAACACGTGATACAACCCTGATTCCACAAGGGAGTTAGGACATGCTATGCTGCCTTTGACACATTCTCATCCCAGGAAACATGCTCCTCATTTGGGTTAGGTTAAGTTGACTTTTCTTTCCTCTTGTTTTCAGTTTGATGGTATCATTGAGCAACCCATTTATTGCTCAAGTAAATGAAAGACATTTCAAAAC